TTTTTCGTTTGAAAATCCGTGTTGTGAAACCATGTTTTTCCCAACCCTCCTTGGTTGGGTATTCGTTTTGAATAGAGCAGTGTGGTCTCCACTCCTTCCTTCCTCCTCCTCTTCCCTCCCTGCCTCTTCCTGTCTTGCCTGCGGGGGGCTGCGATCTGTGAAACTGTCGCCATTTTCGAGGCCTGCTGGGGGGCCCAGCACAGTGAGGGCGACGCGCAAATTCAAATTAGACCTCGCCATCCCTGGGGGGGCTGCGATCTGTGAAACTGTCGCCATTTTCGATGCCTGCTGGGGGGCCCAGCACAGTGAGGGCGACGCGCAGATTCAAATTAGACCTCGCCATCCCTGGGGGGCTGCGATCTGTGAAACTGTCGCCATTTTCGAGGCCTGCTGGGGGGCCCAGCACAGTGAGGGCGACGCGCAATTCAAATTAGACCTCGCCATCCCTGGGGGGCTGCGATCTGTGAAACTGTCGCCATTTTCGAGGCCTGCTGGGGGGCCCAGCACAGTGAGGGCGACGCGCGGATTCAAATTAGACCTCGCCATCCCTGGGGGGCTGCGATCTGTGAAACTGTCGCCATTTTCGAGGCCTGCTGGGGGGCCCAGCACAGTGAGGGCCACGGGCATATTCAAATTAGACCTCGCCATCCCTGGGGGGCTGCGATCTGTGAAACTGTCGCCACTTTCGAGGCCTGCTGGGGGGCCCAGCACAGTGAGGGCCACGGGCAGATTCAAATTAGACCTCGCCATCCCTGGGGGGCTGCGATCTGTGAAACTGTCGCCATTTTCGAGGCCTGCTGGGGGGCCCAGCACAGTGAGGGCCACGGCGGATTCAAATTAGACCTCGCCATCCCTGGGGGGCTGCGATCTGTGAAACTGTCGCCACTTTCGAGGCCTGCTGGGGGGCCCAGCACAGTGAGGGCCACGGGCATATTCAAACGAGACCTCGCCATCCTTGGGGGTGGCTGCGATCTGTGAAACTGTCGCCATTTTCGAGGCCTGCTGGGGGGCCCTGCACAGTTACTCCACGGGCATATTCAAACGAGACCTCGCCATCCCTGGGTGGGCTGCGATCTGTGAAACCGTCGCCACTTTCGAGGCCTGCTGTGATCCCCGTTTTCGAAGTGGTTAGGGGTGCTCAGGAATTGTAACTCATCAGCTTTATCAAGCCCTTTTCCTGTAGCCAGTGTCCTGCGAGTCTCCCGAACTCCGTCTGCAGACATACGTAACCCTCGCTCCGTCATCGCCCCCTTATAAAGTATCCTAAACTATTTGCGCACCGCTTTTGCGCAGGGGTTGGGTACGTCGCCAGGGTAATTTTCTCAACCCTCCTTGGTTGGGTATTCGTTTTGAATAGAGCAGTGTGGTCTCCACTCCTTCCTTCCTTCTCCTCCTCCCTCCCTGCCTCTTCCTGTCTTGCCTGCGGGGGGCTGCGATCTGTGAAACTGTCGCCATTTTCGAGGCCTGCTGGGGGGCCCAGCACAGTGAGGGCGACGCGCAGATTCAAATTAGACCTCGCCATCCCTGGGGGGCTGCGATCTGTGAAACTGTCGCCATTTTCGAGGCCTGCTGGGGGGCTCAGCACAGTGAGGGCGACGCGCATATTCAAATTAGACCTCGCCATCCCTGGGGGGCTGCGATCTGTGAAACTGTCGCCATTTTCGAGGCCTGCTGGGGGGCCAGCACAGTGAGGGCGACGCGCAGATTCAAATTAGACCTCGCCATCCCTGGGGGGCTGCGATCTGTGAAACTGTCGCCATTTTCGAGGCCTGCTGGGGGGCCCAGCACAGTGAGGCGACGCGCAGATTCAAATTAGACCTCGCCATCCCTGGGGGGCTGCGATCTGTGAAACTGTCGCCATTTTCGAGGCCTGCTGGGGGGCCCAGCACAGTGAGGGCGACGCGCAGATTCAAATTAGACCTCGCCATCCCTGGGGGGCTGCGATCTGTGAAACTGTCGCCATTTTCGAGGCCTGCTGGGGGGCCCAGCACAGTGAGGGCCACGCGCAGATTCAAATTAGACCTCGCCATCCCTGGGGGGCTGCGATCTGTGAAACTGTCGCCATTTCGAGGCTGCTGGGGGGCCCAGCACAGTGAGGGCGACGCGCCAAATGGCCTCCCTGGGGGGCTGCGATCTGTGAAACTGTCGCCATTTTCGAGGCCTGCTGGGGGGCCCAGCACAGTGAGGGCCACGCGCGGATTCAAATTAGACCTCGCCATCCCTGGGGGGCTGCGATCTGTGAAACTGTCGCCATTTTCGAGGCCTGCTGGGGGGCCCAGCACAGTGAGGGCCACGCGCGGATTCAAATTAGACCTCGCCATCCCTGGGGGGCTGCGATCTGTGAAACTGTCGCCACTTTCGAGGCCTGCTGGGGGGCCCAGCACAGTGAGGGCGACGGCGGATTCAAATTAGACCTCGCCATCCCTGGGGGGCTGCGATCTGTGAAACTGTCGCCACTTTCGAGGCCTGCTGGGGGGCCCAGCACAGTGGGGCCACGGCGGATTCAAATTAGACCTCGCCATCCCTGGGGGGCTGCGATCTGTGAAACTGTCGCCACTTTCGAGGCCTGCTGGGGGGCCCAGCACAGTGAGGCCACGCGCGGACCCAAATTAGACCTCGCCATCCCTGGGGGGCTGCGATCTGTGAAACTGTCGCCACTTTCGAGGCCTGCTGGGGGGCCCAGCACAGTGACGCCACGGGCGGACCCAAATTAGACCTCGCCATCCCTGGGGGGCTGCGATCTGTGAAACTGTCGCCACTTTCGAGGCCTGCTGGGGGGCCCAGCACAGTGACGCCACGCGCGGACCCAAATTAGACCTCGCCATCCCTGGGGGGCTGCGATCTGAGATCCCCGCTTTCGAAGTGGCTAGGGTTGCTCAGGGATTGCAACTAATCACCATTATCTAGTCCTTGTCCTGAAGCCAGTGTCCTGCGAGTCTCCCGAATTCCGTCTGCAGACATATGTAACCCTCGCTCCGTCTTCGCCCCCTTTATACAGTGTCCTAAACTAAACTATTTGCGCCCCGCGTTTGCGCAGGGGTAGGGTACGTCGCCAGGGTAATTTTGTTTTCTCTTTATGTTTGTGGACACTCGTCTTTGAAATTTTGACGAAACCAAAGGTTTCTGAAGGATTTTGGCATGCGCGCGCGACGACGCCCGCGCGTGCACTCCGCCTCATTTTTGTTGGCAGAGGACTTTTGGCGAACTGATGATTTTTGATAAACGAATGCGCGCTCGTAGTGCCTTTTGCAGAGGATGGTGGGGGGGGTCGATACTGGCCCCCCCTGGGGCCGTGTGATTTCATATTTAGGATGGGCGATGTTGCAGAATCATATGCAACTTGCAATGCAAAAAGGAGGGCGGTATCCTGGTGGGGGGGTATTTTCTATTCTCTTTTGAGAAAGGAGAATTTTCCCTGCTGCGCGTGAAGTTGCCAAGCCACTGCTCGCGCAATCATCCCACCCGCCCGCCCGCAATTCTGTTTGCAAAACCCACGCGGCGGCGATTGCGATGAGTCCTTGGTGTTGGCCGGTGCATCTCTGCGGCCGCGCTAGCCCGTGCATGTTCGCGCGCGCAGCGGCCACCTAGTATTGCGCGACCGACGCGGCCGCGGTGTCGCTGACCGCTGGGCACTTCCCGGCGGGCACTTCAGTGTGAGTCGGCGACTTGGGCGGGCGCGGTATCACGGCGACGCCGGCAGCGGTGGACGCGATGATGGAAGTAGCGAGGGTTGTGACGATGATGACAACGACGACGGCACGGCAAGTGACGGCGCCGATGCTGATCACGCCGACGACGATGACGGCGTCCTTGCGTCGGTGATGAAGGTTGGTTTTGGACGGAGTTCGCCATTCGCGCGCGGCCGACGGGCGATAGTGGCCCGCATGGCATTAGTTGACGCGGATCGTGCCCCCCCCAGCACGCGCGCAAAGGCTTTCGAACGATTTCGACATGCGGCGCGAGAGTCCCGTGGGGTCGAATTTGATGAATATATTGAGCAACCAATGGCTTCCTTAAATGAAGAATTCGCAGGTGCGCGAACGCAGGCATTTTTGAAAACTGGCGTTGCGAAGCCATGTGTTCTTCTATGTGTTTTATTTCGGGACGCTCGATTTTGGATTCGCTGCGAAGTTCAACGATGTTAGGGATTTCCGCATGCGCGCGCGACGACGCGCGCGCGCGTGCATTTCGTTTCGAAGTTTGCACTGATTCTTGCGACAGCACGCGCGCAAAGGGAGTTTGAACGATCTCGACATGCGCGCGCGCGAGAGGCACGGTTGGCAGTATTTTATGTCAATGTTGAAAAACCTATGGTTTTCGCAAGAATCTGCAAGAGCGCGAGCGCAATTTGTTGCATTAGCATTTTTATTCGGATGCACTGTTTTGTTCGTTAAACAATCGGGGCGCTCGATTCTGAAATCCATCCGAAACCTCAGGTTCTGGAGCGATTTCGGCATGCGCGCGCGACGACGCGCGGGTGTGCATGTCGTCCCATGTGTTGCAACGGGATTCTTGAAAACTAATAAACGAGTGATCCTGCATGGCATTTCTTGCAGAATATGAGAGGGGGGTGATACCGGCCTGCCTGGGATGGTACGGATTCATTTTTCGCTTGGGCGATGGGGCAGAATCGTATGTAAATTGCAGTACGAAGGCGTGAACCGTTAACTCCAGGGGCAGGAGGGGTGTAGTTTTTTGGTGTGTTGTTTTTGTTGTGTGTTTGTGTTTTTTTGTTTTTTTTATGGTTAAAATTTATGATCAATGTAAAAAGTATTTTCCTTGTTCTGCAAAGCGACGGGGCAGCGACGGGGCGGCGACGGGGCGACGACGGCGACAGCATAGCCGCCAGACCGACAGACAGGCCCAGTTACGGCCGGCGACGAGGCGGCGACCGCGACAGCATAGCCGCCAGACCGACAGACAGGCCCAGTTCTTTGGAAGAGCTGTAAGAATTCCTGAGTGCAAGCGCTGCTCGGGGAATGGGAAAAAAAGCAGGGAAGACGAAAAACAAAGGTGCACGGCAACAGATGTCTTGGGACCTTTGGTTGGAGCACTTTGTCAGCTGCAGGTAGTCGGTTGGTGGTGCTTGAGGCTCTTATGCAAGCCACGCCACGGCCTGAAATTTTAAGCAGTCCCGTTTTTGCATCTCCGTGTTGTGCCCTTCTCGCCACGAAGTGTCCGCAACCTTGGATTGACAATAGCCTGCCATTCTTGTCTGTTAGCATTCTTCGGTGACTATCGTGCATTATCTCATTCACTCTACTCCACATGCTCGTTCGTTCTCTCTGCTACTCTCTGTTTCATTTTCCGGTCCCGCCGCAGCGGCCACATACTTACTTGCCCGTCTGGTTCGCGAACAAATGCGCTTCGCCGCCTCCAGTGACGTATAGTTGCCATCTAGTCTCCATCTGGCCAGTTGGATTCGGACTTTAGTGACATGTCGGCTCATTGAGCATAAGTGGGCGAAGACAGGCTGCCATGAGCCCCGAAAGGCGAACGCCAGGTGCTATTGAGGATGATGCGGTGGAGGATGGGGATTGAGGTGAGAATTTTGTAGGATGCTGAGGAGGAGGAGGAGGAGGCGGTGGAGAAGGATTATGAGGAGGAGTAGGAGGAGGGGGCACGTTGGCCAGGTCGAGCGAGTCAGAGGGGCCCCCTCTTCCCGCCTGCCCTCCCACAACATGATAATCAATTCTGGCACAAAGTGGCATTGGAATTGGAACGCGCTCCCACCTCGCAAACAGAAAGCGCTCGCGCGCGGCCCCGCTTTCGACGATTTGGCGAAGGGAAAAGTACGCGGGCCGCGCAGTGGCGGGAGCGGCTAAACTTCAGACGGCCGCGGCGAAGAGGAAGCATGGGCCGCGCCGACAACAAAAATCCACTCTCATTCACAACTTGCGCGGCCCTGGAGCCAAGTCATCATTGCCCCCGCTCTCGCGCGGATCCGCTGCCGCTGTGGCTTCCGTGCCACTCGGCGGACGCTCCATGCGCCGCGCCCGTGCGGGAACGCCGCCTCGGAGCGAAAAATCGCGCGGAGGTCGGGCTGGGGCGACGTGTCGCCCACTCGCGCGGCCCCCTCCCCCCCCCACGCCCCCAGAACTGGCGAGTGACAAACGTGCGCCGCGTCGAGGCGGGAGCGCCACGTTCGTGTGAAGTCTGCGCGGTGCCGAGGCGAGAGCGGCATTTCTCGTCCGCCCGCGCGTCGACGACGTTGCGCGCGAGAGGTGTGCGCCGCGCCCAGGCCGGAGCCCAACTCTCCAGAAAAGTGAGCGCGGCGCTGTGGCGAAAGCGACATTTCGGCTCTTTGTGCGGCATGTGCGCCGCGTCCTCTTCCTGCCGCGCATGTCGCTAGCGTCGACGACAGAGCGCCCATGTAAAGACGAAACACATTGATTTAGTATTGTTTTGGAGAGGTCGGATGGGACGTTACGAACGTGGCCCCGATCAGACGGCTAGGTGGCACAATGGGCATATATACATAGACCAAGAAAGAATACACGTAGGAATAGGGGAGCACCTTTTTCCCCGATGCAAGGGTCTCAAGGGGAACACGGACTTTGAGCCCCCTCCCCCCCCCTCTGTCGTCGTTCCCCGCCCCTTCCTCTCCGCTGCCGCGGCGGCTCCTGCTACTCATCCGCCCGAGCTTTCCCCGGCCGCAGCGTCGGAGTGGCTCGGGAAGGCACCTACTCCTGTCGGGCGGCGGGGAAGGACATGGAATCCTGGTTCAAGCAGTGGCTTCCTTTTCTAGGGATATGATGGGTTCCCGGTTCAAGCTGCGGGCTTTTCTTCGGGATGTGATGCGTTCCCGTCCCGATTCAGACTCGGGTCCACTCCTAGGGATTTGATGGACTCCCCGTCCATCTTCTGAGCCCCTCTTAGGGATGAGATGGACTCCTTGTTTAGCTTGGGCCCCTCAGGGGTCTGATGGGTTCCCAGTTCCGACTGCGGGCCCTTGTCCTGCCGATGTGCTGGGTTCCCGATTCAGAGAATGAGTCCCTCGTAGGGATGTGATGGGCCGCCAGTTCAGGCAGCGGGCCCCTCCTAGGGATGTGACAGACTTCCGGTTCAGACTGCGGACCCTTCTTAGGGATAGGATGGGCTCTCACGTTGTAGGCCCTTTGCAAGATGCGATGGACTCCCGCTTCAGATTGCGGACCCGTCTTTGGGATATGGACTCCTGGTTCACACAATGGTCCCATTTCCCAGGGATGTGATGCGTTCCCGGCTCTGACTTCGGGACCCGATCCTAGGAATGTGACGGGCCTCCGGTTCAGGGAGTGGGTACTTCGTAGGGATGTGATGGGCCGCCAGTGCAGGTTGTGACCCCCCCCCTCATCAGGGATGTGATGGATTCCTGGATCCGAGTGGTGGGCCTTTCCCACGGATGTGTCCCTTGTCAGGGATGTGCTGGACTCTTGGTTAAGATTGTGGGTCCGTCTCAGGGATTTGATGGACTCCCGCCCAGTTCAGAGTGTGGACCCGCGCATAGATGTGGTGGACTCCCGTTTCCAGATTCGTGGGCCCCTAGGGGTCCGATGGGTTTCTGGTTCAGAGTGTCGGCCCTCGTGGGGATGGACTCCCGGTTCAGAGCGTTGACATTTTTTCAGGAATTTGATGGGCTCTCTGTTCAGACTTAGGGGGCAGTTTTTCCTACGGATGTTATGGGCTTCCCGTTCAGACTGGGCCCTCACCAGTTGCTGAGTTATCTAATTTTTATCAGCGGCCACTTGTACATCATTAAGTGTAGTTCTGTTGCACCTCACATATAATGATGTACACTTGTGTTTAATATGGTATTGCTTAAATCTAATTGCCGATCAGTGCATGCAGATATGCGTCAAGAAGATTTCATTACCGCGCTTCGCGCGCCGTCGAATCTTGGCCCTCCTTTCAAGGAGTAGCCTCTGATAGTAATTGCGAGGGACGCCCCGAAACGCCTCTCGCGCACGAGCGCATTGACAGATGACGCTGTGGTTGCGCGCATGCAGGCACGTGCGCTCAAAGACGGGCGTTCGGGTAAGTCTGCGGCGTCGGAGGCAATGTCATTTGCTGGGCTGGAGCGGGGAGGGCGTTCTCCGCGCATGGAGCATGCTGGCGTTCGGGTATGTGGTGTAAGCGCCATCGTGGGGGGAAACGCTCGAACTGTCAGTTCGTGCGTAAGCCCTCTCTTGGGCCCCTTATGAGCAGTCTTGGGTTATCTTGAGGGGCCTCTGGGGCCGCCTTGGGGCTCTCTCGGGCCGTTTTGGGGCTCTCTTTGTGGCTTCATGGGCCGTCTAAACGCCGTACTGGGTGGCGCGGGATGACGAAACGCCGTATTCGGTGGCGCGGGGCGCATGTGGTCACAGCCACTGGGGCCTTCGGTGGAAGTCCCTATGGGGCCACGAAGCGCTGTACTGGGTGGCGCGGGGCGCATGTGGTCACAGCCACTGCGGCCTTCGGTGGAGCTCCTTGTGGGGCCACGAAGCGCCGTTCTGGGTGGCTCGGGACGCATGTGCTCACAGCCAGTGGGGCCTCTGGTGGAGCTCCCTACGGGGCCGCGAAGCGCTGTGCTGGGTGCGGAGGGCAGAGGCAACGATGGGAGGGGGGGGGGAGGACATGGAGGAGAAGGAACGCGGGGCGGTGTCTCTTCAAACGAGGACCCAATACCACAGGATGGCTGGGAATAGAAGCGATCCTAGGGGACTCTTCGCCCTACCCCCCACCCCCAGGGTAGCCCCCCCCCTTCAGAAAAATCCCCAGGATTGCTGTTATTGTTTTTTGTTACATTATATTGTTTTTGTTTGTCCTAGTGTTTGGCTTGATTCCGCTCCCGGTAAAACAAAGTAGAGGAGGAGGAGGAGGATGAGGAGGAGGAGGAGGAGGAGGAGGAGGAGGGGAGGAGGAGGGGTAGGAGGAGGAGGAGGACCAGGCAAGACGGGGACCAGACAGTGCCCAAGTTGTTTGGTTGGTTGAGCAAATGTTTATAGGGTTTTGCTTGATTCTGCGTCGTGCGCTCGAATGCCCTTGCCGACGACGCTTTGTGTGGGTTTTTGGTGAATGTGGCGTTCTCCTCTTTCGGCTTCACGACGCTCCAAGACGGCGGTCTTCTGGGCGTCCGAAGCCGCCTGGGAGGCTCCAAAATCGCCCCACAACCATCCGAAAGAGCTTCCAGGCAGCCCAAGAGAGCCCCCAAACGGCACCACAGGTGTCCAAGATGGCCCTAAGAGAGCCCCATGGCGGTCCAAGATGGCCCCAAGACGCCCTCCGAAGCATTCCAAATCGTGACTGGGGCGTTCAGGGAGACCGCGGTTAGAGGCAGGCTGGCTCTAGAAAGCCCTAGAGGCCCCCAGAACACGCCCAGGAGGGCTCCAGAAGGCTTTAAGAAGCCTGAGAACTTTGGCGAGGCCCCCAGAGGCTCTCCAAGGAGGAGCTCCGCAAACAAAAACTGAGGAGGATGGGGCGAATGCCCAGGGTATGTCGAGAGAATTAGGAAACATAAGCATGGAGGAAGGATAACGAACAACATTATTATAACGGCGCTGCCAGAAAAGGCAGCAAGGAGTCATCGCTGAATTGTCGGCTTGACCTTCCTGTCATTTCCGCTTGCTTACCAAACTTTAAGGACCAAGGTGCATGGCGCGAAGCACCACTGCAGTCTTGTATGATATACATAAATACATATGAAATAGCAGGAAGGTCAAGCCGACAATTTAGCGATAACTCCTTGTTGCCTTTTCCGGCGTCGCCGCTATAATAATATTGTTAGTTATCCTTCCTCCATGCTTATTTTCCATCATTTTCGCCATGCCCTGCGCATGCTCCCCATCCTCCTCAGCTCTTTTTTGCGGAGGCTCCTCCTTGGAGAGCCTCTGGGGGCCTCACACAAGTTGTTTCAGGCTTTCTTAAGGCCTTCTGGAGGCTTCCTGGGCGTATTCTGTGGGCTTCTGGGGGCTTCCTCGGGCCACCCTGCCTCCAACCGCGGTCTCCTTGAACGACCGGGTCACGATTTGGAATGCTTCGGAGGGTGTCTTGGGGCCATCTTGGGCCAACATGGGGCTCTCTGAGTGCCATCTTGGACCCGTGTTGTGCCGTTCTGGGGCTCTCTTGGACTTCCTGGAAGCCCGTTCGGATGGTTGTGGGGCGATTTTGGAGCCTCCCAGGCGGCTTCGGACGCCCAGAAGACCGCCGTCTTGGAGCGTCGGGAAGCTGAAAAGAGGAGAACACCAAAATTCACCAAAAACCAGAGAAAATCAATGATTGTTGCCTCTTGGGGCCTTCTTGGGAGTGCTCTTGGAGGCCTCTTTGGTGCCGTCCTGGAGGCCTCTTGGGCCATCTTGAGGTCACGTCGGTCACTCTGGGAGCACTCTTGTGCTGTCTTGGGGGTCTCTGGGACGTCTCCGATGACCCCCGTGATCGCCCTAGGTGTGCTGGGAAGGCTTGGCAAAACGCCCTGTGAGGCCCGGGGGCCGCTTCGAGGCCCATCCGGAGGGTCCCAAAGCCCCAGATCCCG